CTTTTCGAGCAGGCTCGTGTAAACAACGTGCAACGACTGCTTGACAGGTGGTTGTCTCGAGTTAAGTGATTACCGCACCTTACGAATCGACAGTGTTTCCATTTCTCTCGAACACGGTGGCTCGATCTGTGGAAAATTTCGATGGAAAAGAACGCGCGTATGTAGAGTGTCTTCGTTCATCGTTCGACTCAGCCTGTCAGAAGATGATCCTTTCGTTTCGCGTTTTCTTCTCTCTCGTATGCTTCGGCGGTCGTGTGAAATCGAAGGTCTTTATTTATGGTGGAAATGATGGTTTCGTTCGAAATGCAACGGTGTGACGGTTAAATTTAGTGCAAAAACCAGTCTTGTGATCGTTAAACGATCGATCAGCGTGGCTATTATTAGACGCAGCACGTGGTGATAAAATGCCATGCATTCGCGTTTACCAAGCTCGTTTCTAATTCTGGTGACTACGTGTTTTATGGGTATGATATGCAGAAAATTCAGCGTTGCTCGTCCATGCGGAGCTACGATCGCTTTAGAGTTGATTTTCCGGCAGGCGCCCGTGTGTGCCTGGATGAATCGATGGCTCTTCCAATCGCTAAGCCTCGGTTTAATGTTATTTTCTATCGTGTAACTGTGTATCGACTGGCTGTGATCTCTTTATACATCGAAACCTGATTAGATCGAGTCATATGTGGTGTAAATCGAAGTAGTACAAGTGCATCCTATTGCTGCTCACTCTTCTCTTTGTTCAAACAATGAAAATGTCCTTGTACAAAGTACAATTAAAAATTGCTTCCCTTTTTCGTTTAATTTTTTCAAACTTATTTCTGCAAAATACCGTGCATCAAAGTGCGTAGAATTGCTGGTGGAAGAACTCGTTTTCACTCGTGCGCTGTATTTTTCTTTTCGCCTAAAGCATGTGACGTAGAGAAATTAAAAATAAGAATAACTAAGATCACGTTAACCTGCCTGTATTAAAAAGAGCGAGCTCTAAGAATAAACTTCTTTTTTCTTCTTCTAAATAAACTCGGTCGAAACTGGGTGCGTACATATTTTTCTTTCTATTGGAAGATCGATCGTCTCCTACGAAATTATTCCACGCGAAAAAGATCATTCGTGATAATATACACGTGCACACACGGTATAAGTGATATCCTCGGAATCCATAGAAACTAATCGATTAGCTCGACACATGAATATTCACGCCCAATAGCCACGAAAGCTTTTCTAAAATTATAATTGACATCCATTTGACACCCTGTAATTTCAATAAGTACCACCAAGCCTTTGCACAGTACCGTACAACACACGTTTTCCTCGCTCATTTACAGATACTTTAAAGCATTCAATTATTCGTCGTTCTCTACACATTCTATAGCACGTCTATCAAAGTCATGCTCGTTGGTTTCTACGACGTCTACCATGCCAGGATATAAAGATAATCGATACAATCTAACGTTTTCCGTGGGAATACCGCAGTAAGGGCGCCCTTAGCTCGTTTCATGCTCAATAAGTAACACCGTCGAATGCATCCAGCGTGGAAGCTCGAAGGAGAAAAATCGTCCGTTGGCGGAGAAAAGACGACGATAAAAATTTTCACCCGGTGTTCCCCGAAGCGTTCAGCTTCAAACGAAGCTTGCACGAAGTGAACGTACTCGCGGCGGTACGCAGAGAAACGGGGAAAGAAGAGAAAAAGAAGGGAAAGAATTGGCGCGTGCACTGTTTGAAAAAATGAAGAAAAAATAAAGGAAAACAAAACCGAGCAGCCGAGTGTTTTTCTTCGCGTGCACGTTCACGAGACCGGTAAATCGGCGCGGAATTGCCCCGAAATATTTATGCCACCGCCGGCGGAGAGGGTACGAAAGTGTCGTGCTCGTTTAACGAGCGCCGCGACGCGACAAAGAGAACGCAGGAAACGAAGCGGTGAACAAAAGCAAAAGGGACGAGAGACGGCGTGCTCGTTTAACTGAAAGCACGATCGCTGAGACAAAGGAGACGCAGGAAGCATCGGGCAAAATTAATAACGATGTTGCGATAAACCGAGAGCTGCTTCAAGGATCCTCTAAACAGGATGACAAACGAGAGTGGCGAAGACGCAACTCATCGTGGAAAAATGGCACAGGTTCTTCTTCGAATTCGAAGAGAAATTAATAATTATCGAAAAAATTGAAGGATTCTTCTACGAAAAAAAATTCGAAGAAATTTCGAGGAAAATTGTTAGGATAATGGAAGTTGAAACAGGTGAAACACGCGTATATATATATATAAAGTGAAGATCTCAAGGAACGAGGTGTAAAGCTGCAGGCGCCACACCGTCTGCGGCTAACGCTCGATAAACTACATTACGTGCTAACGCGTCGTGCCTTCTACTTCTCTGCCATCTCCTTTGCTTCTTTTTTCCCCCCTGGTCTTCTCTCCTTTTCCGTTGCCTGCGCGGCAAACTGTGTCAGCCGCCGCGAAGGTCCTACCGCTAGGTGAAACTGTGTCACAACCTCCATGGCGACTTCAATTTCGTTGGGAATTAAAAAAACTGGAGCGTACATGTTATGGAAAACGGTGGCTGATAATTAAGTGGGTACCGGGAAACACGCGTTTATTGCGATACCCAGCTTCAATTTCGCGATGAATAAAAAAAAGAACCGCGTTTCTACGTCGCTCCTTCACCGCCAACATTGTAGAATTACCACAAACCACTCTGAGAACCTTCTTTTTTTATTCCTTTTCAGCTACGTCGCCGAAGAAGGTACCTACGAGTTTTCGCGTAATTATGGTAATTACATGTTCTCGTATTGTCGTGAGAAACTCGGGAGGGGAAAATTTCGTGTGTTTTCCAAGACGTATCTGGCGCAAAGTGGTTTCGAAGCTGACAATTTTCGAATTACAAAGCGCGATTAGGTGACGAAGATTAGCAGTGTTTGCGAGATCCTTTGACGAAGTGTTGGGTGAAAAAAGGGGAACACGTAAGGCGACGAAAATTGAAGGAAAGAGCTTTCTATACCGACGCAATTAATTACGCGTTAGTGCTGTGAGCTTTGTGCTTTTTGTCTTCTCTACTTCTGTTGCTTGCTCTCCAAACTGTGTCACCTGTTCTAAAAGCCCTATGGCGAGGAAAACTGTGTCACGGTAGCACCGGTGGTTCGTGCAACACGCTGATAGTCTCGAAGGAAAAACTGACCTGATCCGTGCTGAATATCGTGACAAAAAGCTTCTTCCTTAATTACCCGTATATTTTTCTTCACGACGTAACGGATTTACTCGCATTTCTCTCTTTCAATTCTTACAGCTGAGATATCGTATTGAATTTACGAATTAAATATTTCTTTGGAAACGCACTGACACGTAAATTTTGAGGCACGCCGTAAGACGAAGTTTAACATTTTTAAATTCGTAAAAGAGTTTCTTTACAGAAAATTTTAGAAAATTCAACGTTCTAAAAATTTTTAAAACTGACGTTTAAAATAGACGCACCTGACGGAAAAATTCACGACTCGAGAGGATGTACAAAAAATTGAAGTTCCTTCTCAGGTCAAATCTTTACCTGACACGAATATTCCGTCAAATATTTATTTTTCATTTCTGTTTCCCGATCCAAAATTACTTTTTCGAATTCTACGATAACGAGGAAGTTTTTATAGCAAGAAAAAATGTCGTAGCTCGACGACATGGAATAAAAATTTCATCCACTTTTATTAAAAGAATCTCAGCCAACTTGAAACGATTAAAGAAAGTTCAACATGAATCTTTGACCCAGTTTCATCCAGTACGCATTCGAATGAAGTTTATTCAGCGACGCGTTGCATTTACATGCAGCATTACGACATCGATTTCCTTCTTCAAACCCCAAGAAACGTATGAAAAGCATCTGTTCTCAGATTCAAGTGTTTTAACTACCAAATTCAACACAAATTCTCCACAAAATGAAACCGCACCGTCCGCGACAAGTATCCGAAAAGCATATAAAAACGTACTGCGAAGCTCGAAATCATTCGTTCGTAACTCGTAAATAGAAATGAAAAATCCTTTTCATAATAAAACGAAGAAGGGGAAGAACCGACTCGTACCGTGTATTTCTCGTCAATTAAATTTCAGTACAAAGACGGCCGAAAGCGAGGAGTGTTTTTACATAAGCACCGAAAACGTTTCCTCTCGAACGAGATTCAATTTTTTGCCGCTGGATCCGCCGGATCCCGCCATCTCTGGACGATTATCCTGCAACAGAGATCCTCCTGATGGCACGACGGTACATCAATGACGTCAAATGCGGCAGTGCACGGCGTCGTTGCAGTTCGTCGCAGCGCATGCGTTGATCATCGATCGGTGCGCGTTGCCTGCTCGAGCTTTTCGGCCGCGCACCTCACACGAGGCGCAAAGCGACCGAAAGCAGAACACGCGCGCGACCAGCATCGTTCTGCCGTAAAAAGAACGCCGCGACACGGACTCGCGAGTAACTCTGACGTGGATATCCTCGAGATCGCGATGAGAAGGTTGATCACGAAGCTTTGAACCCCGATCCTTCGTTGGATTTCATCGGTGGGATCGCAACTACTCGACTATCCTAACATTTCGAGGGACCAGATCGGCGAAGCGATCGAAAATCTGGCACGAGTGTATCGAGGGTGGTGACAGGTCGTTCCGTTCACAGCTGGAGCAGGATAAGTGTGACGATACAATGGAGGATAACAGTTGAATAAGCGAAAAATTCGACAGATTACTTCTGGTACGTACACAGTATACGAAACCTTTAAATCAAGCTACTGATAAAACGCCGATGCTTTGAAACCACGCACACACCTACTAGCTACGATTTCGTTCAAACGCCAGAGATATCGTTCGAAGAAACAAAGAGAGAGGGTGTAACAAACGATGCTGTAACAATGATGTAGAGAGAAAAGCTCGATACAGCAAGCAGTCACGATGAACAGGCTGACGTAGCATGTAAACTCTCGGAATAATTGATCGTTCCTCGACATCAGGATCCTCTTGGTGATCGAACCGAGCTCGAGAAACTCGGCACAATGCCGAAGCAAGTGCCAGTGGAGAACTTGGTGATCCCGCCGCAAGACGGCCGGATCTGCGGGACAATTTGCATCTGTCAGATGACCGCTGTCCTATCGTCCGTCGCTCTGGTCTATCTAACAGTGGCAATTTACATGCCGAGCACCAGAGCCTTTCAATCTGGCATCAGCGAGGTGCCAGTTATGTGCACGACAATACGCGCCGTGAACGCGGACAATTGTGAATGGGGCAGCTGCGGAGAGTGGTGCCTCTCGAAAACATCCGGCCCCTGTGTTCAGATTCACGTGAACCTTCGTAGAAACGGCTCGGCGATATTACTAGCGAACTGTACAAACACGACGAATAAGACTTGTTACGGTATCGATCAGGAGAACGCGAAGAAATCGAAATGCATCGCGGACGAGTGTCGCAATCTGACCGGTACGTTCAATTGTTCGTCCGGCGTGTGCATCAACATAACAGACGCGTTCGAGTGTATATTCCACGATACCGATCCACCACTCAAGTGTTCCGGTAGACGTGGCAAGATAACTTGTATAGACATTGACGGTTTGTTCAATTGTAACCGCGGCACATGCGAGCGTATCAGAACCCCGTACAATTGCGATCGCAGATGCGTCGACATCCCGACGAGGAACAAGAATATGATACTGCTTAGCGGTGACAAAGTTTATCTCAGTCAATGCGAGAGAGCTATAGACGTTCAGAGTAATCGCGAGATATGGCACGAGGATCGTGGCGACGTCATGATGGCGTCTTGCTACGGAATTTTCAACTCCACGCTGGGCGTCGAGGCTGTCGACTGCATCAACGGTTCCGTTCTCGAGAAAGATCTTCTCACCGATCTGACCAACTTCACCTACTTGTCGTACCTCAATATATTCGCGACGACACCATTGGACGAGACCAGAATGGTCGCGCCACCTGAACAAGACTTGATCATCGCCAACGAAAGCCGCTTGCTGATCAATCTCGAGGGTTGCGTTAACACGCTTCGCGAGGAGTGCAAGGAGTTTCTTCACGAGTACGGGAAAGACGGTTCTGATCACAACGCTCGTGCCAGATTCCCCTGTTACTACGCGGAGGGTAATACCGGGATAGTTGTGTCACGTTTCAACCTGGAGACCACGTACAAGGAGTTCCTGATCGCGTTGCTGTTGCCCAGCATTCTGTTCGTCGTCAGCTGCCTGACGTTGATCTTTTGTCAGAGGACCGTGGTGGTCGGCGACGACGCGAAAATGAGATTCAAGGCCACGCTTGGTGCACTCTCGTCGATAGAGAAGAGCGCTTCTGGTAACCTAGGGGATGCTGGCGGAGGAAACTCTGCTATGGCGCTCTGAGATCCGTCACGTAAGAATCTGTTAAGCAGCACCGAGAGTTACCATGGCCTAGGGACCTTTCTTACGGGCGATTCGAGACGCTTTCAATCGGTCGTATTGAGACGCAGCTTGAGAATCGTGTACTTTCTGTTGTTCTTTGGTCCTAGCGATCTTCTACGATTTACGTGATACCAGTTTCTTATCTGCGATACCTGTGAAACGGGCACAACGCGAAAGATTCAATAGAAAGTTTCAGATATAATCGATTATGCTGACACAAGCTCTTAGAGTTTGCTCTCCTTGCCCTAGAGTTGCTTACCGTTGTTGGATCGACTATTCGATACACCCCAAAAAAGTTTGCTGCATTATCGTTACGCGGTAGTTTCAGGATGGGCTTGACTAGGGTGTTTAGAAAAGCTTCGATTTGCAACACGAATTATCTACGCCAATCAAATCTTCGTACGTTTAATTAAACCAAGTGATTATTACAACTGTTACGTGATACTCTGTTTTTCTTTCTGTTCACAGGCATTCCCCTCCTGGAGGAGAGTCCGGCTCGTCAGTCGATATTCTCCCTGCGCGGGCATTATTAAGGTGTGGGGAGGGGGGGAACGCGTGGTTAAAATTCTCATCTTGCAAAACAAAAAAAAATCTACAAAACAAAACATACAAATACTTCTGCAAAAAGCGCAAACCATCTTTGAAAAACGAACAAAAAAAGAAAAGAGAGCAAGCGGTCAAAAAAAAACAACAAACAAAGTACCAAAAGCAAAAAGAAACGCAAAAAAAAAACAAAGAAAAAACGAGCAACAAGATTTTTCCTACTTGCACTGCCTGCACAAAAACTACACTTTCGAGAGCGCACGTGCTTTTTTCAATAAAAAAAAAACGAGAAAAAAAGAAAAAAGATTCCGCGAGCGCGCGGTACGAATCGCTTCGAGGAAGTTCGTGGACTCGACCATTAATCTTTCGGATAAGACGGTAAACGTAACGAGGCAACAAATCATAAAACGGAACAACAGACAATTCGGCGTCTTTTACACGTGACAGAACATTCGTCGGTAGCTTTTAAGTGTCCCCCTTCTTGATTGATTCGCCGTGACAGTAGATAAGAACCATTTATTACATATAGCTCTGCGTATCGAGGCTAAGCAACTCTTATTGTAATCACACACCTACACCGCCAAAAAGCCACTTTGAGAATCGAAGGACGTGCCTTGCTGGTAAATGATCGATTCGAGACGATCCCTGCACCAATAGCCACAAGCCTACAAAACAGAGATCTTTGATAACTCGCCGCTTCGCGTTATCTTCTGAAAGTATTCGAACCGTAAGCTTAAATATCACGTATAATTAAACAAACAAAAAGTCTACCAACAATAAGTTTGAACAATCACAAAGCTCTTCGTCGGCCTATTAAAAGCGAAAGAGAAGATTCTGATAGAAATAATTTGTTCCATTCGTTTCACCGAAAACTTCCATTACTTTGTTCGAAAAAGCTACCAAAAATAGGAGAAATCTGACGTAAAAAATCTTGTTCACAAGATACTTTTGCTGCGAAATCGAAAGAAAAAATTTCACAAGGATCGAGGTAACTTTGATTGGTTACCTACCAATCTCGTCTCTTCAGGGACAAAGTTTCAGAGTTCGAACTTAGGGTCCAAGCGACCCAGGGAACAAAGCAATCATTGATTCCGACGAGTCAACGGTGATCATGGGCGCCCAGGAAGAGGACACCAAGTCCAGCACCATGGGTGGGGTGCTACCGGTGGTAGAAGTTGCCTCTTTGGTGGAGAAAGCGAAATTCTACACGTCCCTCTGCCTGGGTACCACAGCCATTCTTGCTGTTTTCGCCTTCCTCTTTCTAATCCCTTTCGTCGTGGAACCAGCTATATCTACGATTTTGGCCGACTTCTCTCCTCACGCTGTAGCCTGTGTCGTCACTGACCACGTTTACGCCGAGGGACTGAAAAATTGCTCTTGGGCAAGCTGTAGAGAAGGTGATTGCCTTATAAACATTTTCTCCTCCAAATCCATTCTATAGAATATTTCAGAATTTAACCCTTTAACGTCTAGCGTCCTCTTTCATTGTAACTCTTCGTTTCACTTGCTAATAATGCGATAGAAATTAAATAGTGCAATAAATTTGCGAGTTAATGGGTTAATTTCAACTTTCTTTTCTAGATCAATCGTGATTAATTTTAATAGGATTTTGTCGATTGCAGGTTGTACCAGCGCCGCGCTTCGTTGCCATCAGATCAGAGTGAACTACACGAGGCTAACGTTCGGAGAATTCGTGGCGAAACCACTGGGTACCATACCCTGGGACGTCTCCGACACGAAATTCTTTGTGAACACGGAAGGCTGCGGTTACCCGCCCCGAGTGAATTGTTCCGATTTTGCCAAGAAATTCGGATACTCGAACATGGGAAAGATATTCCCCTGCTACTACAGCAGAACACACCCAGAGACTGTCGTTGCAAGGTACAATAATTCTTACCGTCACGATCGTGACAAATAGGGAAAACGGATGCACGAAACGTGTCATGTCCGATACACATCGAGGTTAACACTGGATGTGCAGTGTTATTACTGTTGTTTCATTGATTCTGATCTTTGAAAATTGACCGTCCTAGTGTATTACTACGATTAACTCCCCTTTGTTAGAAGCTTCATTGATTATTCTCTTTGTACTTCGAAAGAGGTTACAATATACTTCTCAGACTTCCATTATACACGATGCACTTTTCGTTCACCTACTTTCTCTTTGTAAATTGAAATAGCAGATAATGCTCGTTTGAAAGTAATTTTTTTCACATTTTCAGATACTCTTGGGACGAAAACCTGAGGCACTTAGTGCTAGCCTTGGTAGTGCCTACAGTACTATTTGGAGTGTCCCTCGGTGTGTTATGCTTTTGGTATTGTCCACCGATGGGCAAGAGTTGCGGAGGACCAGGACGTAACCTCATTGACAAGTACGCCAGGAAGGAAGAGTAAGTAACGTGTATGTATGCAGTGCCCTGTGAGGCTAGAAGAACCTATATAACTTATCGACATTCTAGAATTACTACGAGGAATTAACTCATTCTTTAATTGACAACAAAACTCGCCACGTTCAAAACCTTGAATCATTACTAAATGATATTTCGTAAATTTAAAATTTTGAAAACGTTTCGTTGTTAACTTTCAGACATCAGATATCGGGTCAAATGTGACCTAAGAATAAAATCTCTTTCGTACTTTTAAATTTAAGCGAAACCACTTTTTTTTTATTTTACTAGATATTATGCTATTTAAAATTATACAAATATATTATGAGTAAAATAACAAATATACTTATAATGTAAGGAGAGGAGAGTCGTGACTCTATTTCGAATGCCAGTTGAAACAAAGAGACTTCGAAAAGCTGGGTCACTGGTGACCCGGTGACCGTCGTCCAAAGGTCAATTCAAGATAATTCCTCGAAGTAACGCTTTACAGTACAGTTGAACAAAGAGACACCGCTGTATTTTCTATCTCAAGTTTTCTATTGCATTCGTACAGTATCCTGGGAGAGGATGAATTCGAGGAGGACGAGGAAGAATACTGACTGCTACCAAGGGCTCACCCCCCAGCGAGGGAGTGACGCCGAAGGAATTATTAAAAACAAAAAAAAAAACAAATCCCCAGCGTACTTTACGTTTTAAATTTAAGCGATCGTTCGAAAGCAATAGCAGCGTTAGTAAAAGAAACGAAACGAAAAATTGTTCGGCAACGAAGACAAATGCTAATTTGTTCGCGTACCTCGGCGTGTCTGACTTATTTCGACTTCTACTACTACTTCCGATAGAAAACCTCCTCGCAATATTACACCGCACCTTGTCGCTTCTTAATCGATTGCTTTACAATTAAACGGAATTGGTATGTGTACACTGAAAGAAACTTCTGCTGTTTTGAATCTCTGATCATTTTCACCATTCAAACTTCGAATCTTTACTCGGTCCAATCGAATTGTTTCCCCCTTGAACTTGCAATAAATCAAAAAGTAATCAACGTGTCGTATCCTTGTCGCGAGACGAAACACGCAAAGGTCCTTTACTAGATAAAAGAAAAAAACAAACGAAAGAGATTCTCCCGTGATGAAATGCAATTACGCGACGAAAATCTTAAGTTTCTAAGATCGATCGAACCAAATATTCACGGGAACGTACATCGAAGTGCTACTGTATTTTTCCGAAGGTGTTTGTCCCCTAAACGAATTAAACCAAGATGTCTGCGATATTTTTACACCGAGTTACCATGGAACCAAAAAGAAACAAAAAAACGAAAAAAAAAAAAAATAATGCAGAGATAACCTCGCCGCGTGACGACTTACGAAAGTGTGGTCGCGAATGTTTTTTCTGCGATATCGAGCGTAATCATTTTGCGAGATTTTTATATTACGAACGCAATAAACAAAGAGAAAACAAGCTCTGTGCGGCGGTTCGTGCGAATTTACAAAGGTAAAGTAGGTTGGTTAAAAGCTGAAGCGGTTTGAGAGCTCAGTCTCGATCATCTACCAGTATTCCGGAGCGAAGTTCATAGAGGTACAGATTTAACAGAGAGAGAGAGAGAGAGAGGGAAAAAAAGGTGCGCCTTCCTACAACGTGATAAAACTTTTAAACGTAAGGAACAAACAAATATTCAAGTCAACTGGCACGTTTTAACGCAGCATTCGTTCGTAATAGGATAAGTGATGTGCTTGAGTACGTATTTGTAAGTCATGTTTATCCAGACTCGGGGTAAGATGACGTTTCAGACGATGAATAAGAAGCAACGAGCAAACGAAAAAGATACGAGAGAAAAGAAAACAATATATGTATATTGGATATCTTCCGATTAGTGGAATGAGATATTCTTCGCGGTGGCATCGTGGCGTGTAAATGTTCTGTATCGATTTGATTAAAATCGCTCGATGTTGCTTCGCGGACAATATTTCAGGATAATTGGATACAGCCATTTTTTTTGGAGACGTTTATTATTTCAAATATCATTTTACCCAGATCTGCGTGTATCTGAGCTCACGATCGACGAAAGTGAGAAACTTTTCGGAGAAGCTTGTACGTTGTGGAGAAACTAATCGATTCGTCGAGCATTCCAGCAAAAAAGGGAAAAAAAAATGACAAAAAAAGAAATCAAAATCCTGTGCAGAGTCGTGTCACGCGATTGTACGTGCTCGTATTTCTGCGTTTCTACTTGTGGAATATTTGAAATCGATAGCAGTATTCGTGTCAGTTTGAAAGGGTGAAGAAAATGAAGTCAGGAGGGGAGGAGATATTTTTTTCGATTTTAAAATTACACCGAAATACAAAGGAGGATCGTAGTGCTTTTACGTGTGATTGCAAAAATAGAATGGTAAATGAGCACGGCTATTTTTGCAATAAAAAACGGATGGAAAATCGTCGTTGAATTTTGTCGAAGTTTCCAACTGATACGAATTACGAGACGAATTTGAAACAGAGAGAGAGAGGGAAAGTGACACGATTGCCTCCAGGATCTGTCTTCGCACCAAAAATAAAAAAAAGCTCATAGGTTAAGTCTAGCCTGTAAGTTAAGTCTGTGAATATAATCGATTAATCGTATCGAGATTGATATAAAGATTGTTACAAATTTTTTACACGGACGCAAACGTCGCGTCGTGGTTCTAGATAGAACGAATGAATATATTTGCATAAAGCGCAGGTGCACGCAAGCACGCGTCGTGCGTAGTAGTTTATAGCTGTAGATATCGGTTTTTCAGTTCGGTTTTCAAAAGGGACGAGCGATCTGCGTTCCATAAGCTGCGAAACAACGTGATCTAGCGAGCAAATAACTTACAATTAGTGAATTAATTAGCAATAATTCTCTATTCGAATTAAAAAAAAAAAAAAGAAAACAAACGTCATGCAACGACAAATCAATTTGTTTGTTGTAGAAATTGTTTCATAAGATACGAATTTCATTTCAAAAATTTCAGTGTATACGAGTAAAACGAGAGAGAGAAAAAGGCGGGAAAGTACCGTGCAATTTGAAAATACATAGCTATAATATTATAAAATTCAAACATATAATAGCTACTTTAAAATTGCACACATTACACACATCTGATTTAAACAGAAATGAATTCTAATAGTTTTCTACAAACTATACAGCGAACTCGTTAAATGTGAATGTAAATTTTTTTCTTACTTCCTTACGCTAAATTCGTTTCTAAAATTTCGTCCATATTTCGTGAAACAGTTTGTACAAGTGAAAAATTCGCGAATTAATCTTGAAATTCTTCAAAGGTACCTAACGAAAATTTAGTATTACTAGATTAAATATGTTCAGTAATATTACGAATGATCTAATTTTCTAGAATATTTATTACACAAGTTGAGTAGTTTTACTTATCGTAACGATATCTTACTCTACTTTTAAGTCTCGTTAGCGTTACGTGGATCGGGAATATTAGCGAGTTACGCGGTTGTTTCGAAGCGTACGGAAACTTACGTCGCGAGCCTGTGCATCTAGAATGGTTGTGAATCCTTGAAACTCGGCCTTACTCTAGGCGTCCAGCAGGTTGGCATGATTCGTCGCCTCGCAACGAGTATGCGAATGTATCCAACACGGAGCCTGTGTTTCGGCACTCATTCCCCACTCGAAGCTTGCTAATCGATTTCCATAAAGCGCGAGCGAGCGAGCGACCGATCGATCGACGGATCGCGAGAGCGTGCCGTTCAAATTAGCGTCGTCGAACGATAACAAAGCGGAATCTTCTCTCTTGCGCCTTTCTGTGTCACGTGAAACTTTTGCTCAAAACGCTCGACTCACGAGACGATGAGGTTATGTAATCGAATGAATCAACGTAAAGAAAAGAGAAAAGAAAGAAAGAAAGAGGAGAAGAAAGAAAACGAAAAATAAGAAATTAACAAAAATTGTGGATGTTTTTCGAACAGGATTCGAGACACCGATTTAGCTGCTAGGTGTAATTTAATGACAAAAAAAAAAAAAAAAAAATACAATTTGTGAAAGTCGAACCCATCGAATGGATCGACAAACGAGAGAGAGAACGTTATTTAGCCTTCGATCGAAGTTAATCGTTTTCTAGACCACGAAACACTTCGATTATTGAATCGTACTTTAGACGTCATTGTGCTTGATCAACGTATACACGCGAGTGACGAGAATAATCGTATCGAGCGGCCTCTTTGTCATGGACGATTGTTTACCGGAAGTTCACGAGAGAAGGGCTCGTCCGTCTACAAGCACTTCCATATCTCTCATATCAGATCGGTTTAGTGCCAATTCGTTAGTCGATTAGAGAGCCTCGCGAGTGATCATCGGAGTTAAACGTACATAACATACATATTTAAATAGAATCATCGGTCGCGGGAGAAGACGTCGATGCAAATTAGATAGATCATTACGAAATTCTAGGGAAACAAGATTATTGTACTAAAAGTGATAATTGAGGGAGTCGTTTCATTCGTGAAGGACTGAAAAGATTGAAAGAAGAAGAAGAAAAAAAAGAACAAGTAAATAAATAAATAAATAAATAAATAAATGAAGATAATAATAATAAACGTTAACCAATTGTTCAAATTGAATCTCGCGGATTTTGTCGCGGCAACGGCGAAATCAGGTGTAAAACGAAGAAGAAGAAGAAAAAAGCGAAAGAAAATTGCGTTACACGGTTACAGATTAGAAAGCGGCGATTAATTGTAAAGTCTCTATTTCTATTAATACTTATGTATAATACGCTCTATCGCATGTTACTTGATTATTCTAATGTACCTGCACCTACTATAGTTAAGCTTCTACCGTCGATTTTCCTTTATATTTGTTCTCTCGCCCCCCCCCCCCCATTTTCATTTCCTCCAATTTCTTCTCCGATAAACTTCTTTCTCTAGTTTTCAGAAGTTCTTCGATCATTTCTCCATCTCTCTCTCCTCTTTCCTCGCTCTTTCTATCTTAATTCTAATTGTTCTTTACCCTACTGACGATCTAATACGATACGATGAAAAAACGAAGGACAACTCTTCGAGAAGAAGAAAGCTACACTCCAGAATTTTAAACTTCACCGAAGACAAAAAGGAAAAGTAAAGAGCAACAACAACATATTTGTCCACCGCTTCGTGCATACCATTGTAAGTCTTGAATACATTGTACATAATATATTATATATATAACGTACTCGTTCTGCGATACTAACGGACTATTGTAAATAAAAGATTGTACGATTTCGTTTGAAATATACAGGAACACGTTTTCTGTTAAATACACTCCCATCTATTCATTCGAAATTCTACCTTACAACCTTCCTTCAGTTGCTAATTTTTTCTTCTCTTTGAACAAGATATTCGACGTTGCAGCGTCGCGATAAAGAAACTGATACAAACTTTTTCCGCAAATCAAACATTCGCTGCTTTATGTAAAGAGAGCATCGGTGTTTCGATAGCAATCTAACGATAGCAATCACCCGACAAGCTTTTAAGCTCCGATATCTATTCCACGCCGAATCTTCGCCGGGCTTTCGAAAATATTGTATCGCCGTAATAAAATCTGGAATGAGCAAGAAGTTTATCCTTCACAGCGGAGACATTTCAGGGAAAAATGCAAATGACGAGAAATGTAATTTTCATAATTTTCAAAGTGCCTCGTTGGTGAAACATTCACGTACAAGATTTTTTATTTTTAGGTCGTCAAGCACTTGTATTTACTTTATCGAATAGTTGAACGTTGAAGTTTGATCTAACTTTATACAAGAAAGTTAAAGTTCGCATTGGTGAAGTGCTGTTTAGAGGGTGCAGAAACTTCGACAAACATTTAAGCCGCGTTAAACAGCTCAAACTGTCGTAAAATTACGATGCAGGCCAGCTGACGAATTTTCAAATTGTTTCACGCTCCGTGGAATTGCGCCGGAAAATGAGAAACATACTAACGAGAGAAAATTACAGCGCAGCCTACGTAGAACAATGAGGTGCGACAATTACGCGAAACGCTATGTTCAAACTGTACACATTACTGTTCACTTCTACAGTACACATTATGCGTACAATAGGAATAATTGGGTGCATTGACCAAGATATTTGAAAGTTCTCGATTGAGCAAATTTTGACAATTCTACTCCTGCGCATCGAACTCTAATTATACGCGAAAATAATTGATCAATCGAAGTATTTCAAATTCAACAACCACCCATAAAGCCCCTCAAACTTATATCCAACACTAAAAGAAATTCCAGGCGATACTTATTCGCGTAACAAGATAGCTTCAGAACTTTAAAAGTAAACTCCCTAACTCAATATCCAGGATCGTCCAATAATAAGATTTCAGGTATGACGATCGCAGCTTAATTGAATAACTTCCAACAGGTTAATATACAAACTACACAACACAGAAACCAACGAATACCTACTACCACCCACCTATCAAACTTCAAGCTTAATCAACTCAATCGGTGCAATTATCAAATCTACCTAATATCGAAAAAAAGCGCAACTCTCTCGATTCCCCATGTGGAAAGTCCACAAACGGTTTGTGATCGAAGAGATGTGACACGTCGAGCGAATCCAAGTTCGCGTGTAAAAAGCAGAGGTCAGCGTTGACCTGTTCGTCTCTAATTAATCAGCTTTTCCACGCGAAGTCGTATCCGCGAGGGCGAAACAGTCGTAGGCGGTTTGGAGGCGCGTACGGAGCCAACGGAGCGGGTCTGGCCTGACCATACGTGAACACCGACTGCTCGCCCCCATAGACGTGGAGGTTTCACGGTGCTTCAGGGCGCAAGCTCGGCATGGGGGAGCCTGCGAGCCATACACTCGTCGGGCAGCCTTGTTTTCAAACAGTCGTCCGGATTGCGTGGGTGCTTCGCGGTCGTTCGACACCGTACAGAATAGGGGAGTTCTCGTTCTCCTCGCTGATGTCAACGCACCACGGGAAGCAATGACATCGAAAAAGATGGATGGAAATGAAAACGCGGACAGCGTGTGCCGTTATTGACCGGATTTATTTCATCTGCGTTCAAAAGTAACCACAGCCGGTGCTCGTGGAGAGAATCGCGCCTACCATCGATACATACGTATATCGGTGATCGTGGAATATCGAAGTGCGATTGCGTTCCGACGTGGAACTTGGAAAACTCCGGTGAATTTCAGTGAAACTCGCGACGACTCTCTGTGGTTGCTATTTTATGCTGAAGATCTACCTCTGGTGACCGGTGAATCGTGACGATACGAAGAAGATTTCAGGTAGAATTTCATTTTAATTGTGATCGATACTTTCTTTAAGTAGTTGCAATTTGAAAAGAGAAGAGATCGACTTTTTAAGATAAAAAGAAAAGTGATATTCAGTTGATTGACTGTACGAAGATACCGGTGACATTTAGCGGAACACTTGGTAGACTTGAAGGCGAAAGACGTGGCTTGTATTGCGAACGCGTTTTATAGTGTTTGCATAGCGTTTCCTCGAAGACCCGTCGCTGTACGGGAACATTGTAAAATTCGACGTTTGTCGAATCGAAATGTCGTTCTTTCTGTAGTGCCTTCAAAATTTCGCGTATTTCCCGCGATTTCAATGTTAACTTTTAATTTAACGTATCTTGTAACCGGAAAATTCATGAATATTTAAAACACAAGAATTAATTACTTTAATATTGCTACACTTTCTTCGAGTCAAGTTTATTTCAGTAATTGCAATTTATCGCTATTACGAAACGTCCCTCTCAAACTCGAGGAAACAGAATAACTACTTTGTCCACAGAATGTCAGAGAGAGCACCATTAAATTCAGATCGACGATGGTTATACCTACCGTAGTGAATATATCATGGTTATTCGTATGCTAACATCGATTCGTCCACTCTTCGAATTCTCTTTGAGCAGCAACTTAAGCACCGTCAGATCGTCCCCGTCGTGAGAACTTTCAAGAAACCCTATAACGGCCGCGTTTTACTACAGCCTGAAAGTTTCCCCGAATCGATAGGTATTATTCTCGAATGGCTGTTAAGCGATCGTCCCTTACGCGATAATGGGATTACGAGTATCTAATTGCACGTCATCCGGCGGAGTGCACCTGTTTACACTAGCGCTGCACCTAATGAAGTTAAAACCCGGTAATTGCCTCAAGTGCGTTAAGCTTGATACGCGAATAGCACGAGGAAAAAGAAATCGATGGGGCTAACCTAGGAAGGTGACCAGAAAAAAGAGACTAAAAACGTTGGCACTCGAAAGACAGACGATGATTGATAATTGTTTACGATTGTACCATAAGTACATTTACCGATAATCACACTTTTTCCATATGACATCGTATCATAATGAAATTTCGAATGAAAATTCCTTCTTAAAATTTAACCCTTTCGTCGCTAGCGGAGATACACACACATGTCCCACTCGAGTAATCGAGGAAAAATTGCTTCCAATTTACCACCGGTAGATGAATAATAACTCCTTCGAAAGAATGATTCGATCATGGAAATGTTAACATAAAAAAGCTCGGAGCACTTGAACGTTCAAGTAATCACTCGAGCGATCAAGTTGTGAAAGGTGATAAATCCGACATTTCATATTACACGACCTAATAGCTTGCTTTTAAATCATGAATATTCCTCGTGACATTTGTCGTTCAGCTACGCCCCCTCGTCCTTTCTTCCCAAGAAAATGAATCGATAATTTCCAAGACTTTTTGGATATCGTAAGGATTCGCGGGATCAGTTGAAAGTCGATTCTCTGAGAAGCCACCAGGTCATCGCGATACGATTCCTCGACGAAGGGTTGTGTGCAAAGGGGTAGGAGTAGTTCCTAACGAAGTCGTTCAATCGATACAAAGTTTCCGAGGTTTGTGCTCACGCTGGAAGAGAACTCGTTCGTGCCCCCCCCTTGAAACGAACTTTCCCTTTTCCGGCGCTCGATTTTCACAGACGAACGATTTTTCGACGATTCACCGGAAGAGACGCTCGCGCGTTTCGAGTACAACGTTTGATCGCATGTCACTCTTCGAACCTTATGTAAAATCAGCCACGTTACATAACCGGGAAATCGATGTTCCACGTGACCTTTCATAGTCCAGGTGATATCGTTTAATCAAGGACAAACTTTTCTACTTTGTGAAGAGGTACTTTAGGATCGGATCGATTTACCGTAGGGTATTCTTCGACGGAAGTGAGCAATTTCGAGTATTTGGTTGGGTAGAATTTTCGAAACGTTCCCAGAAACTTTCGAATCAAGGAAACACGACGACGACTGGTGTTCTCGCGAGAAGAATGTTCGCACACACTCGTTCGGCCGAGAAACACCTGTTGTAAAGCAAACTGGAGCTTGGAAAATTCAACAGCCGGGGGCAACTTCCGCTGAGAATAATTTATAGCCGACCGGAAAGTAAATTAAATTACATCCTTAACAGATTCTCCTCCGCTCGTTTCTCGGTTCTGTCACGTGAAAGTAATGACCCGATCGGCACGAATAGCTGCTTCCGTCGCTTCACTGGACGTGAAAATTGACACTGTTAGTAAGGCAACGTTTCCTCGAGACCGCAGCGAACTAGCTAATAAACTGTAGTAAATCATCGAACTTAGTGTGACGAGCTTGAAACGAAAGAAACATCTATTTTTCAAACTCTCACAACTGATTAGAGACACATACTTCGTTTCCTATTAGATACGCGATCTAATAAATCAATTTATTCGTGTTTATCGAGAAGGTCCGTTTCGATCGAAACGATCAATTAATCAATCGCGTTTCCCTTTTACAGAAAAGCAGCCGTCGTAAACAACGATCGTTCTCGTGCGACACGAAACTCCGTTACACACGATGAACTCTGAGAAAATATAGCCCGATGACAAATCGTGTTTCCTCGTAGCGGGGACAATTTGAGTGAGCCGAGAAATCGTCGGGCTCGAAGCGGAACCGAAATTGATGAGAAGCGGACTCACATTAATCCCTTCAGAAATTACCGTTTCGAGGACGGTTTCACCGGGTGAAAGAAGGTCCAGCGATCCAATTGGTTGCCGTCGCGATGGGACGGAAGCACAAGCGTCGCCTGATACCGGAACAGGATCGCAGGATTTGCGGCAGTATCTGCTTCTGTCAGTTCACCATTGTTATCAGCTGCGTGGCGTTAGTTTATCTAAGCGTGGCAATCTACATGCCGTCCCACAGGTAAACGACAAGGCTGCATCGATTAATTGACCAAGGCCGATAGTAATTAAGTTACGACTCGTCTGGCCTTAATTTCCTTGGAGGATCTATAACCTGCAGCGTATCACCGCGCCTTTAACCGACTCCGTTCGCACGTTCCGGTTGTTTGTCAGACGAGAAAGATTAGGATCTTTAATGCCACTTTTCTTTTCCATATTTACAATTAATTTTACATTGCACGTTATCGTAATCACCGAAAGCACACGAGCTCTTATCGCTTGTTTATCGAGAGACGTACGAAGCAATATTGAGAAAAAACAATATCATTGCAGAATGTTTTCATTCGTGAACAAAAATATGATTTATCGATTCAAATTGTTCGTCGTAAAGATCTCGTCGAGTATATGGACTAGCGAAGGTCGACGCAATTCGTAAGAAGGATTTGTCGCCCGATAACATGGAAATGAAATGGACGTACTTATGTTTTAAATTTAACGTTCTTGTTTCTTTTTTTAAATATCTTCTAATCGCTCGAACATAAACAAGCGATATTAATGCAATATCAACAAATTCATCACCGCGAATACGCGGAATATCGAGTTCCGTCATGCGAAATTCAAACCTCTCTCGGCGAAATATTAATGAAGCCGACGCAATTAATTTCCAGAGCCTTTCACGCGGGGATCGATCCGGATCCAGTAATGTGCCAAACCATTGATACCACCTCAGCTAATAATTGCGCTTGGGCAAGCTGCGGGGAGTGGTGCTTAACAAGAACCACAGGATTCTGTCCTCAGATCCACGCAACCGTAAGAAGAAACGGCACGGACGTTGTATTCGAGAATTGCACAAAATTCAGCAGCATTGCTTGCCCGCAGGTACGTTAGAATTATTCCGTGATACTCGATGAATCTTATAATATTCCAAATATCTATCAAAACCCATCATCCTTCCTCTGATTTAATTTCTCAAGAAAATCGAGAGAAAACAAGTTCTCTGATTGGAGAATTTTTTACTAACTCTATAAACAGTATTTTCACGAGTTCTTTTAAATTTATCAAGAGAAAAATATGTGTATTGCATGAAAAAATAAATTCAGAACGATGTTTCATCGGTAGGAGTGTTTTAAAGTTTATAAGTGGAATAAGACAGCGTTTGGTCAGACGCATTTTAGGACCAAAGTAAACCGCTCTCTTAACCCATAACGCGATACCGTAATATCAAAAAGTACTTGCAGTAGAAGTTCCGGAAGCTGACAGAAACTGCAAACGTATCTAGAAACTTCGCAAAAATTCTATCCCCGATAGGTAACTTTCTCAAACTCTCGTCCATCCTCCCAGAAAACGTATGCAATTCTCACGTATACAGTGGCAGCTAAATCCACTTTCCGGAACCAATTTTGCTAAATCGAACCGACACATTCACGATTGGTGTAACAACGAGAGACCGATTTGTTGAAACACATCTGTTACTTTTTAACTCGTAAACTCGTTGTGCATCAGGCGAACGTTGCTTGAATTTGTCAGGATTCGACGATATTAGTTTCTCCATCTGCTACACACGCCCACGTATAATATTTTCCCGCGTTTCTCCGTACAGGTGTAACCGACAAACAGGCAAATGGGTTTCCGGGCAGACACACACCGTTTCTTCTCCCGCGAGAGAAAGACGCAGCGCGAAATAAATTGATCGCGAATAACTGTGAAACTATGCTTCCCGCGGGGAAACGTGCAGAAAAATACGTTTCACAGATCAGCGAGAAGTTAAGTGATAAGCGCGATAGATTTCGCCGTAGACAACAATTTTCCATTACTCCGCTCGCTGGAATCGACGTCTCGCCTGCTCTTTCACTTCGGTACCATAACACCGTCGGACGTATTTCCATCTCCCTTTCCCTCTTCTCTACCCTAGTAATTATGAAATCGCAATTACGTTATCTGGCTTGTATCGAGCGTCGCGGTACGACCTCTATTCTTTCGCTGTTCCGCCAACCTACAATACACCGGAAGCGATCAAATTGCACGCGATAAGGAAACCCTAAACGGTAGCCACCAGGTATACACCCACCATTATCGGCGCTGGCTCGACTTTCAGAAATTCATTTCCCTCCTGTCAACTTCGTGGTCGATTTCTTTTTCACCAATCGTCGTTGTATTATTCGGATCGTTGCCATTGGTACCTCGGATTCACCAGGAGCAGGTATAATAATTTATAGGATGGGTGATCGTTTTAGAGCATTGTTTCATCGAGTCCTCGTATTTCCGGCACACAGAAAATCGATCGACGATACGGCTAAAAGGCGAGCCTCGTTTTTAATTAACCCGACTACAGGTGGTTCAATGAACGTTGCTTTAACGAAGTTAACCGAGGAAAATCTAGTTACTACGAGGAAAGGATACTGGAAGGAAGAGAGAGAGTTCGTTTTAACGCGTTGCTGGCGCGTTTTACGGTCGCAACTCTCCCCGTTAATACAGTCGAACGCGAAAGGGTTGGTTGAAAAAGGGGAAAAAACGTTATTGCACGAGGATAGATCGAGAAAATAGCCTGTGAAGAGTACTCTCGGTGGTGAAAAAAAGAAAAAGAAGAAAAAGATCATCCTGGTAGATAGGACGAGCGTGCAAAAAGGGAGAATAGCCTCTCTGGAACGAACCGACAGATGAAGTTAATCATTGTACCGACTCGAAACGCAATTACTTAGCTTTCTCGGTCACACACGTGACAAACGTGCCACGAGCTACGTTCGACGGAAGTTTTTCAACAAGACCAAGTCCCTGAAGCGCGCGAAGCATAAGCGATATTACCGAGTTATGCTAATGTAATGAACGTAGACCGTCGGTGGGTTACTTTGATGCGCTAACCTCGTTACCTTGCTACGTAACGCTTCCGATCGGGTTCGTCGTCTCGAATTACTTTCTAATGGCTTGTGTCCTACTCGGCTGCCACACCTTTTATCGATCATCTTAGCTTCACGCATCGTGATTTTAAATCGAGTGCTTTGCACAGATTCGTTCCGATTGTTCGCCGGCGACAAAAAAGGTGCGAATGAAAATTCGTTCTATTCTCTCGCGTGATTCTGCGCCAACAGAAGATCGATAGATATTGAATTCTGTGAAAAATTTTTCGGGGGTTGAAAGATTCGAAGAGGTAGTTGAGATTTGAAAACGTTCAACAATTGTTCGTTCTTCGTTGCCGCTTTTTACGTATATAAACGTCGATCTTACAGGGAGAATTTGTTTCGTTCATTGGTGAACACGTCTCGAACGTGACAGAAAGTAATGAAGCTAATCTAGAAATAGACGTCAATCATACTGAATTTCTGCCCACGAGGAAAGCATGTCAGACAGCGGAATATAAATGACTCCCGTGGGAGCGTCCTCGAAAATAGGAAAGAATGCGATATTGCGTGACTGTTATTTCGTTGGATCGAGTAGCTAACAGTATCTTCGAAAATATTGTACTTTTACTTAACCAATTAATTACTAGAAATTTACGAGTATCCTACGTTCGTCGTGTAATTTCGAAAAGATTTCCTCGTTTCTTCAACTTGTGTAATATCCAAACACTGTAATCAAGTTTGTCAAAGTAGTTTTCAACGATGAATTTTGATATGTCGAGTATCTCTACAATTTCCCACATGGTTTCAGAATGGTTCAGAGTGTGAAGCGTTTCGGATAGGAAAATTTCCTGCGCTAAATTTGCATACGCTATCGTTCACAGTATCTCCTCACTGCACGCAGCACATATTTCTTTTCTTGTTTGTCCTGTATTTTCACCCTTACGATAGCCATACAGCATAATACGTCGAAAATGCGTCTCACTTTCTTCGATTTTAACTCTACGCTGAATACAATAAACAAAATTAATTATACTTTTATTTTCAAACGACTCATCTACTTTCACACTTGATTTTTATTCGCGATATATTTACTCCCGTATCGCTATGCAAACGAACGAAAACACAACTCGACAACACGAAAATCCACTCAATCTATCTCTTCTTTTCCTCCAGCACGCAACTCGTACAAATGAAATTGACTAAAATTCAATTCAGATTCAACGAAAATCCACTCAATCTATCTCTTCTTTTCCTCCAGCACGCAACTCGTACAAATGAAATTGATCATTTCGCTCTAGGTGAATATGGCTTCTCTGAAGAAATACAATTGCAACAACGGCAGCGAGTGCAGCATGCTTTCGGGGGTGTTCAACTGCAGCCTTGGCCACTGTGCCAACATAAGCGAGCTGATGTTATGTCATCACAAGGCCGACGGTATTGTCGTCGACAGCGAGAGGGACAACATGAAGCTGAACGGCTTCTTCAGCTGTCAGAATTCCAGATGCACGAAAATCAAGAGCCCCTTCAGCTGCGATCGTTATTGCCCGAAGATCTCCACGTCAGATGTAAACGTGTTCCTCATGCAAGACGACAACGTCATCACAGCGAAATGCGAACGCGGCCTAGCCCTGAACAAAGCGAATGGAAATCTGCCTGGCACCAGACTGACCACGCCTGTGAAACTTTGGGACGATCAAAATGGGAGCATCGTTGCCAGCTGTATAGCGGTAAACAAAGAAAGAGACTTGATAAAGTGAGTACTCGTTTGTTAATTAATCTTCGATCAACTGATAACGATCCTATCTGTAGTATCCTTTTGACGAATGTGAAATTTTAGAAGATACGAATTTTTTAAGTAGGACTTCAAGTAGCATACTTTATCAGTTTCACTGGATAATTGGAAGTTAGAAGATGAACTTTTTTTTAATTAACGCCTACTACAGTGAAGAATTCTGTAAAGCAAGGTAAAGCGTTTTCGAAGGATTAGCCAGTTTCGCAACTTGTAAAATATCCGTATAGGAGGGATATCGGTGAAACTTAAGTAGCCGTCGTAAAACAAATTTCAAACGGTCCCTTTAATTTTATTACTACCCTGGCGTAAAAAGTATCTATAAATGACCTCGTACCTTCAGCCGATGGATTCATGAAAAACGAATTTAAAGTCCGGCGAAGTTCATTTCTAGAACGCTTTTATTGAATATTACCATAAATTTCCCTTCTTCGCCTGTAACTTCGACATACTCCAGAAACTCTCTTCTCCCGGTTAACCTGCAGTAACGAAATTAAACCGAAAACGTGAAGAAAATCCCATCGTGGTGAGAGTTGGAAGCTAGTTTAAATCGTTCTCGAGACAAACAGCAATTACCAGACGGTCTGAATGAGCGCGTAACTTCGAGTTCAAATAACAGTGAATCAAACTGTTGCACAGTGTCGTGCCGCTCGTGCAGTCAATATCCATTAATGACGTCAACCCATCGCGACAGCTAAGATCACGAATACAAATCCAGTGGGAGGGTCGTGTAACGCCTCCGAGTGTACACTCGAGAGCTGTCTGGCGACGTAATTAAGATGTCAGAGAGCAAGCATTCACGTATATCTGTATTATTGGCTTGAATGGGTTCGATGTGTCGGCCTAGAACGATTCAGCTGGTCACGAGACACGGTGGAGGAAAGAGGAAGAGGTTAGAGAAGTCCGACGCGGTTGGTCACGTCGATTTGGGGTCAACGATTCCCACTGAGTAAATGGACCGAGGTACTCCTTCATTCTCTGCCCTCGTGTATTTCCTTTCTTTCAACCTGGACGATTCGGAGGTTCTTTTATTTAGGAAAAAATGAGCTTCCAGATAAGAGGAGAATAGGATACACAATGGAGTGGCGAAGAGCTGTCTAACATAAAATTGCTCAACCGTGCCTTCAACCCACACGAAACACACGGCCAATTTTCATCCCTTCTCCTATCTTCAATCCCCGTTTCTCTTAGAAAGGAACTGGAAATCCTTCGAATTGAAATTCTTTGAGCGTGAAACACGCAATCGCGTCACTATGAATTACGCTATAATTCGTATTCTATTTGCCGGCAATCGGGATTCGCGCACCAATTTGCATCAATGAACCTAGGCGTCGACGTTTAAATCATTTGTGAGAGTTAATCTGTGCGAAATTCTCGATAATAGGATCTGAGAGAAACTTTTGCTAGCTAATCTAGCTTGACCGATATAATTACGCTCTCGTATCAATTGCTTCTTATCTCGGACACGTGGCCTTTCCATATATTCTACTGTTGAGAGCGTACGAGACGCCGATAAGGGTATTACCATGGCAACCATTGATCCTGCAGTTCTGTTCACCGATTCACCCCTATCACCGAGTTTTTCTAGCCGACGTGTTTCCTGCGCGTTTCTTTTATTTCGATACTCCGTCCGTTTGCTGTCCCCCTTTCTTCGATTTTGTTACGTCCGCGAACGCTTCGAATGGGAGCATGAGCGAGCGTAACAGCCGCGACGCGACGGCCAGCAACGGGGAAAAGTTTTTTCGCGAAACACCAGTGAGAAATGGTCGTTCCTAAGGCTGTGTATTCAAGCGTCCGCGGTGAGAGAACCGAGATTTGCCTGAAAATGTGTTTACGAAAGAACATTTTATCGATACGAGTAGAGGGGACCTTGGGTTATCCTTGGAAAGTTATCCCATCTTGATAACCATTCGTTGCGGGGACAAAAATGTGGATGAAATTGTCAATCACACGGAGCGAAAAAGCTTCGTTACGGGGATACAATAAAAATGGCTAAAGCTGGATTGCAAAAATGACAGAAGACTTTGTATTCAGAAATTGTATTTTGTAATTGAATATTTTAAAAAAATATAGTTTTGCAGCAGATTGGGGCAATTGTGTTTCACGAGTTCAAAGGTGAACTTAGTAAAGCTAAGATAAGACGAATAAATGATCGATTAGGAGAAGGAAGTTTTTATTTTGATTAAATAAAATAGCGAATAGACGAAAAATATTTTCATTCAAACTTCCCTATGCGAAATAGTAATTTCATATGCAGCAACCTAATACATTAGAAATAAAATAAATGTCACAAAATGTTAATTCCCTTTTCCCTCAATTTTTACTAAAACAAGTTGTCACGTTTATGATACCAATGTTCCAACCTAATATCTTAGAAATAAAATAAATGTCACAATATGTTAATTCTTCTTTCCCCTCAATTTTACTACAGCAAGTTGTCATTTTTACGATACTAAACTGCAGAAGAAATTCGCGAAAACGTCGTAAACGCCATTTAATAAATCATGTTCTGGCTTCTGTTTTACAGGACGCACGATTGCGTAAACGGTACCTTGTTAAAGGATATCCCGGTGCCTGAACCGCACATCAATTTTACGACCTTTCTGAATATATACGAGAAGAGCTTGCAGTATCCGTTGGACCCAACAAACGCCTACGTGCCAGAACAACGATCGCTCACGATCTACAATAGTTCTCGGCTGTTTATCAACCTCGAAGGTTGCGTCAACACACTGAAGGGAGAATGTAAAGATTTCCTTGCCAGTCATGGCCGCGACGGCGACAATCAGACGGCGCAGAGTAGATACCCCTGTTACTACAACAAGGTACGCTATTTCATGCAATGCTTTATTTCTTCCATCTAAAACACACACACACCTACTTTTCCAACTTCTTCACAAAAATCTTTCTTCCTCTTTAAAAAAATAACAATTTCACAAATTTTCTATATCGCCGGGATTTTTTAAATACCTGTTGCTTCCCAAGCTTATTCTCAGCACAACTCTCCCCCTATTGTTGGAGAATACTTTTTCACCTATAGCGCTACATTTTCATTTTACGAACAGTATCGTATCTGAGAAGCATTCCATTAACGAGGCAGAAAATGTACTCTCTTACCGTGGTACAACCTTTTCGCAAAATAAAGGATGTTCCGTGGAGAAGCTTGACGAAAGGAGGAGGAAGCGAAATGTTTCCAAGTTGGCAGCCAAGGTGGTTACAACGAAATAATTTAATTAGAAAAAGAACCGGTGCGCTTTTAACTTCGTCTAATCAGCTCTCTAATTCAATCAGACTGCTCACGCCGGGGTGTGTTTTATTTTATTCCAAGTTCGAGAGGATCTGCATCAATCGGGACGAAACTTTACGGAAGGAATATTGCGTTACGCAAGGTTGCAAAGGAATTACCGAGAATTTTCTTCGAATTAAACTTTCTGAATGAATAGCAACAATGCGAAAGAAGGGACAAAACCTCCTTTGAACGTTTGAACGAGAGCGTGGATAGAGGTGTTGCGTAATTGCTGCTTCGTTTTATTCCACGCTAGACACGGGGATTTAATAAGTAATTCAAGTGAAAGTCGGTCTTATTCAACTCTAACAATGTGTTTTTCATTTTATCAGAATGAGAAAAAGAAAAAAGAAAGAAACATCACCCTCGCGGACCGTTGTTCGTTTTTCCTTAATTGGATCTTCAAGCGGAATTATTTCCGTAACGAAGAGTGTCGCGGCGGCGGCAGTTCCTAACGATCGGTTGGTTCACTCGTCTTTTGCTTTCACGAATTAAATTACAGAGTCCGACGAGACGAGTTGCATTCAATTATTTCTCCTCTTTTTTCTCTCTCTCTCTCCTCTCAGTCGCGTTTTCAGTACAGTTTCAGGTAAACTTCGAATTATACTGTAAAATGTTCCGTCGGTGTATACGCGTGCACAGTTGCGGAATTTTCAATGGAGAACCGTGAAAGTGGATCGCGAGCACATATTTTATTCATCGGCATGTTTCACGCATGATTCCATCGTCGGAACAATTTCAGGCAACGAGTGCAAACATTTTCGTCGTTGCTAACCGTGGGGCGATTACTAATGCAACACGGGGAATGGGTAATAGGAAATAAATTGGAAACAACGTCACGAAATTATGCGAATCTGGAGCTGATGTAATATATAATTGGCGAGCATAAAGATTGCTTCCGCGAACGAGGTTCGTATTAATTATGATTTTACTGGGGAAAATACAGTTTCAGCAGTTTTAGCAGTTTCAAAATATTTAATAATATTTCTCTACATAAATGTCTATTAAATTTTGTTATCAAACTAAGAAATATTTTCGTAATCTATGTAGGAACTCAAAATTAAAATAATATCAAATTCATGGAACGAACAATATAATTTCTCAATAAGATGTTATTTAAATACGTGAAAGTTCTTCCCCTTTTTTCACCAATTCCGTGTTTTTTCTGTAATATCTAAAGAGGGAATTCCAAGGTACCAATGAAATGTAATAGGTACAGCTAAATTGGACTTTTCCCTGTGAACAATGCTTTCCTTTCGGGGGAGAGCTAGGACTAACACAAAGAATCCAGAGAGAAACAAAGAGAATTCTACGAGGTGGCTCTTTTATTTCTCATCAAGTACGTGTGTCGCTAGTAATTTACATTCTAAATGTCTAAAGAAGCAGTAATATCTTCGCTTTTGTACTCTCAAGATATAATACTTTTTCACCGGTTTTAATAGCTTGTTAATACAGAGAGAGAGAGAGTACATCCAGGAAATTAGACGAAAGCTACGAAGCACACGGAGCAACTAAACACAGAACCTTTGACGTGTCATTTTACTCTATAAACATACGTAATTAGAGAGCTCATACCACCTGGATCTATTTACCATTGGCATTCATCTAAAGCTTCAATTTGCACATTTGAACTAATAAGAACCTTTGAAGCAAAAATAACTGCTACGTGTATTTACGTTGCCTCTATTTAATTATCCGAAGGCCACATTTGCAGAAAATTGTTACTTGATTTATGAATGAACACGTATCGAACAGGGTATTGAATTATTCGATCTAGTTCACCGAACCTCTAGTATACACTGCCATTCATAAGTATTTGGCCATTCACTATTTGTACCTTTTGATACGAAGAACCTTTCAAATATTCTTCCTTCTATTAATCCTACAAATTCTAACCAGTTGGAAGAATTAATTCCAAATTTTCATAAGGTTCAATTTAATTTCAATTCAAAGCAAATAAGCATGGTCACTTAACGCAATTGCTCTTTGATGCAAAAATAGATTATCAACAGCATACACAAGTTGTTTTACGAAAAAAATTAAAATTTAATTTTCAACCCTTCCTTAACGATCGATTCATTGATTTTTAATTATTTCCTAGGCATAAGTTTCCCATTTATTTATAACACTGTAACTTACATTGTTTGCCATAGAATAGGACAGCGGAACGCGGAAAGTGAAAGAAAATTAAGCAAAATTGCACTTTTCGGAGAATTAATGGTGCACGTGTAAAGGGTTAAGCTTCCCACAAATAATTTTCCATAAATTTCCAAATATATATCAGCAACAATGCACGCTGTCTTACGTAGGTATCCATTCATCCTAACCCCTCGCAATACTAAAACCACGACAATCACCTGCAAGCACAAACGAAAGGCTCAATTTCCCATTGATAATGTCACTTCCACGAACTTCGAGCGTTGTCGAAACAGATCACGCGCACCTTGTATTCGTACTTTCCATCCAATCAACAAACACCCGACGTACTTCCCGCCAGTTGTCGGTTTCTAACCCCTGCGATCGAACGGCATTTGTTCCAGAATGATTCATTCTTCGTCGTGGCACGTTTCGACCTGAACAAGACGCGTACGGAATTGCTGATCGCCATTATCGTGCCGTCCGGTCTGTTCGTTATCAGCCTGACCACCTTGGTCATCATAACGCGATCGGTTCAGGTCGGCGACGACGCGAAGATGCGTTGCAGATACTGTATCGACAAGCAGGAGGTCGAAGGAGAGGACGAAGGACTGGTCGAGGCGACACCGTCTTCTTCGCAAGGACAGATGAACGAGAACGAGATCAAGAGTATGGCACTTTAGCAGTTTAAGCCGCCAGGGACAAGCAGCGTGCTTCGTTACGAGAGGGTGCCATTGATCGACACCGACGAAGCCGAGGACTCTTTCTGAACGGGGACAAGACACACACTTTCAACTTGTGTTCTTGATCGATGTGTCACACGGAAGCGACGAGTTCGAGCCAACTTCTTGCCGCGTTTTTCGCGTGAAAACATAACGGCAGAGCGGAATCGATGGTGCGAGAACAGTATAGACTGTGTAACTCGTTCGGTGTTGCTCGATGGACGTCGTTCTCAGTAACAAAGATTCGCTACGTTCGTCGAAGGAACGAAATCTTACCTACACCTTGTGTAGACAATAAAAGAAAAGTGCGTGCAATCGAAGGAGAAACGAACTTCGAGTGTAAACTTGTCGTTAAATCTTCAGCCGTACGCGCACTGTTCGCGAAGCTGACTGAACGAACGCTTTCCGCAAAACGAATCGTCGTTGTTTGCGATCGATCGATATATATTTTTGCAACGAAGTAAGTAGAACAGAGGAACGAGAGAAAAGAAAATTGCCACCGATTAGGTATGTTGTTGTTAAACTTACGCAGCTTTTGTGTCACGTGGTTGGATCTAGTTGTAGTGCGGCAGGGTTTGATTTCATTGTAACTAGTGACAAGGTTGAGAATAATAAACAAAAAGAAGAAGACTGACTGATTTTTCTGAGTACAATCGTTTTTATCTACACCAGATTTAATTACACGTTGAGGGGTGGGGAAAACAAACCAACCCGGCGTCGTTCAGTTCTATTGGAATACCGACGAATTGGCGGCAGCGCACAACAAATGTGTTCGAACTGTATATTTTTATTGTTTTCGATAGTGTTCGGTCCTCGTAGGAATTTACACTCTGTTCGATATAAACGGGGGGAGAAAAACAAGAGGGAAATTCTCGACGCAGCACAAATGTTTTTAATCGACGATCCTATTTCCACTTGTTGAGCTTGTTAGATTAAAACGGAGTCTTATGATTTGATGGATCTTTAAAGGTGGTCTTCCCTGCGGAACGAAGATGGAGATACGAGAAAAACGGAACATTTGAAAAAAGAAACAAAGTTTACCCAAATTAGGGGCCAAAGTAAAATTATCTAATCGAACCTATTGTATACAATCTATCTATATTTCGCATTTTATTATCACTGATGCCTTGAACAAATTTTTGCGACTAATCGAACTGAAACACTAACGTTCAATCTATGTATTAATATTGAAATGTTTCTATCTAAGAAAGTATCGTTTACTTCGCCTCGAGCCAGAGAAACCCTTCTCGAAATTTACGATCGTTGATCGAACCTGAAGGAGAAGAAAGTTCGAATTAAATGTTCAAAGTACCGTTTCGTAGATCCTCGATGTATACAAGATATTTCTAATCGTTGAAGAATGACCGTACACGTGATTAGTATTTATATTTGTACTTCCTGTGAAAGTGAAGTGAAAACGGCACCAAATCGCGCAACAATATCACTATTAATCGGTTAGTTGTACGAAAATTCATGTTATCTCGTGCGCCCGATGAATCCATGGCACGAATCAAAACGCCGCGATGCTTTCGATGTACAAAGTAGATTAGAGAATGAAATAAATAAAAAAATTATTCCGTAGAAGTTATCGGTTAAGTTTCAATTTTTCGAGCATAAACAGGCGAACCGATTTGACTTCGGTTCATCGCGAGTTTCGATCGTCAACGAACGTACACTTGTATTTCACACTTGCGGTGTTGTAAAGCAGAAAAGAGAAACAGGAAAAAATGTAGAATATAAACGAGTAGAGATTAAATATCGATTACCATTATTAGTCGTATCTCATCTTAAACGCTACAACTGCCTACGTATACATAATGGAATTATGGTACCGCTCGTTTACGATACTGAAAAATTTCAAATCTTAGCTGTGTGTGATAAATTTCAGATACAAGGTGTCTTTATTTTTAAACGATATTTAGAAAATTATTCATATTGTAACGTAGAGAGGTTTTCCTTTTGTATTTTAGTCGTAAATGAACGATGCCATTTTCTTTTCGCTAGGACGAAATTTCTTCTTCACGAGCAAATGTAAATATAACATGTGCATTGATTAAGAAGAAGAGTGGTAGCTGTGCAGATTAAACGTGTCACTCGATAAATGCTGCTTGAAACCTTTTCATTGTTACACGTGCTACGCGATATAATGAAAACTGATCGATCTGCTGTAATATGTTAATACTTCGTTTGAGCAGCAACATTCTGGACCATTTCACGTGTACCTCGATGGTACAGTGTTACCGTAACCATGTTTGTATCGAAAGAATCGATTTTCTTTTCTTTCGAGAAAATCTACTGGATCTCACGAACGATATAGATTGTAAGATAACGCACGATACGTAAAAAAAAGGTGTTTTTTCAAAATATGTAAAATATGCGAGAACCAGCAGTGTCGTACATTTTTCAGATTCATCATGCTCTATGTGCCTTCTTCCGTTTACGTTCGAAATCGATAAACTATAATCACTCGTGTCTTCGAAAAGCGTAACTCTTTCGCTACGAACGTGCACGAATGAAAAGTATTCTTACAATGAAATCTCCGGTAAATGTCACAGGGATCAATGAAACAGGAATTCGAATCGAGTAGAAATATGAAATTTCGAAGAAATGAGGTGAAACAAAAATTTCTTCGCAAGTACTACGCCGCTTTTAAAAATATCCAACAGCGAAAGGGTTAAGTGAATTACGTCTGAAGTGTAATAAATCCAAACCGAAAAGGATCTGTACTTATACGAACAAACAATATAAATATATATATATTTATGTTATATCCGTTTATCGTACGAATATATTTGTAATCGAAATAACGCAACTTACATGTTTCCTTTATAATAAAACTAATTGTTTACCAAATTTCCTCTTTCTCCTTTCACCTGACTATACTTCATTACGTAGTTCTCTCATATTTCTCCTTAAAGGTTAAATTCGCAAAGGTGAACGCGAGGTTTGCAAATGTCGCTACATATCGAGCAAATTGCGAGGGAAATGGCGCGTTTAAAACGATAAATTGCATTCTTTATTTCACCCACGTGAGGCCGTTATTAAAGAAACGATTCGTTATGCATCCTATCGGGAGGGGGAAAGAGCACACATTAACGTCGAATATGCAGACACGCGATGAAAATGCATTTCTGCGATGCGAGCAAACGGCGAACGGTGCAATTAAACAATTAATTTATACGTTCAATGGCAATTTATATTTGCACATTCGCGAGAACGCGTCGATATCGAAGCGTTGCACGTTCGGCTGAAATTTTCGGAAAACTGGAATTATCCATGTTTATTCGTTCGAATGTCAACAGCGTAATATATATATTACAGCTTGGAGCTTGTAATTTGTACACGTCTAGAAATGCAAAATATCGCATTTAAAAGTCGTCGATGGCAAAAGGTGTTCCTTGAATAAATTCGATCACAACTTCCGCTGGAATTTATCAGGAAATGTTAATGAATCCTGCGTACTAAATTACGTTCTGTAACTGGAATTCAAGCTTGCGTATAAATAAGTACTATTCTCCCGCTCTTTGGCTCGTGCATTCTTATCACGTACTCGTTCTCGTCGCGCGATTGTACGTAAAATATTTATTATCGTCGCTTGAAAAATTTGTCGTTCGTTCTATGTCTTTTTGTCTCGAGTGCAAATCGTTTTTTCGAATAAACGAAACCTTTGTGTATCGTGAAAAAGATTATGAAAATATTATTTAATGAAAATATTACATAAATAGACACGTGACAACTTTAAGGTAGAAAATTTTAAAGATAGAAATTAGAAATTTTAAAGGAATTTTGAAGATAGTTACGTGACAATTTTAAAGATAGAAATTAGAAGTTTCAAAGGAATTTTGAAGATATTTATGTGACAAATTTGCGAGACACAACAATCGCGTAATTTCATTCCGGGGAGAATATTTTAAAGGTGGCATAACCATTGATACCGCGGATGGAAAGAACGAAAGAACGGTATTACGGTGGATTGCGTGTCTTGCCGTACTTTGCGTCGAGGACACGTCTCAAAGAAGCTACACAATGAGAAAGAGTAGGGCGATCGCAAATTATGATATACGCTGGTCGGTAAATTTATTTCAATATTATCTTTGCACACTGACAACTGAATTTCTCTCGACTAATATTCCCCTCCGTAAAAAGATATCACAAAATTAATGTATCTTTATTAAACAAATTTTAATCGTGTTTGATAGTTCGTTAATTATCTCGATGAACGAGCGTTCCACTTTCAGCGTTTAAGGGGGTCTTCTAGTGTAACGAAGCGTTTTCTTTGCGTTATTTCAGAATTTTTTATGAGGAACTTATGAAAGTTACTGCAACCCTGTTTTTTTTTCTGCATACTTAGTAACATTTCGATTACACTTTCAATTTTTTTCGAAACAAAAAGATTAAAATTAACTGAAGTGGACCGCTTTGAAGCTGCTCTTGAAAAAGAGCGGTGCCCAAACGGTGTCCACTATTGGACGGTTTCTGATTATCTAAAACAAAATGTTCAAAAGGATTTCTTATTTGTATGTCCTCGGTTATAGCCGGTACCAGAATGAAAGAAAGATATTGTAAATTTAAAAAATAACGTCACTTAGAAACTGAGTTCTGACTTTCATACATTTTTTTCGACTTTATGGTGCTGTGAAAATTTAAAAAAAAAGAAATATTTTGAGACAATTGTGGTAGGGGCGATAGCCACATGTGTGCAGAAGTTGGCCTTAATTGGTGAAGTCGATCTTGAGATATCGTGGACATCATGATTGAAGTTTTGAGTGCAATTTAGATTCTCCCTTGATGTGTCACACTAAACGGGCTATAACTTCGTTATTTTATTGATTGGTGAAGTCGATCTTGAGATATCGTGGACACCATGATTGAAGTTTTGAGTGCAATTTAGATTCTCCCTTGATGTGTCACACTAAACGGGTTATAACTTCGTTATTTTATTGAATACAACTCTAAAGGAGTACATTCTTAAAGAGCTGTACTTTCGATATATGCAAAAAAATAAAAATCGATTTTTTCAAACCGTCACACTAGAAGACCCCCTTAACAAGACTCGACGGCCGAATTTAAAGTTAATTTCGATCCTATCAATCTAATGAAAAAGGAAACAAAATCGAATCCCATTGACAGTCATCTCCATTGAAAGTAGGTCGAGATCGAGTGCGTTCTCATTCACGAGTGTTAAATCAACGTGCGAACCAATTGAACAATTTTTGTTAACTTGCTCCGTTCGTTCTCTGATCAGAAATATTCTCCGTCTTCTTTCATCGTTAATGTAGAATTAACAACGTCTTTCCACGACCGACGAAGGAAAAGCGTCCTTAAACTAGGCAAAGTACAATCCTCCTTATGCAAAGGGTTGAAAGCACCAGATCGATACACTAATGCAATCAGACCTTGATGAAATCTACACACGTAGCTGCGCCCTAACGATTGCTCCAAACCGAAATTTCCTTTTAATAAACCGCCATTTGCGAGATTTGTAATTGTACAATTTTTAGCAAAGTGAAATTTCCGAATGTCTGAAATGCGAAATAATTTTGCAACGAATTCACGTGACGAGAATCGATACTTCGTGAAATACAACACCTAAATCAGTGTACTATAACAACAATGTAATTTGAACATGGTAATTCACGAGGTACCAAAATTTATCAGCGATGACACTTAAGTTACGTTAATTCGGGATCAATTTAGTCAAATATTTAGCACGACATAAATTTCCAATTGAATTGAATTTCAAATTAAAGAAATATTACCGAATAATTCTGTTTAGGTAAAAAGACCTTTAAATTACTCTAAGCCTATACATTAACGATAATTTTTGCGCTTATTTAACCGGAGCAGCTAAAAAATATTACTGAGTAATTCTGTGTAACTGAAACGGCCTTTAAATTATTTTAAATATACAAAGTAACCATCACTATTACGCTTATTTAATCAGAGCAGCTATTATTTTATTGAGAATTATTTTCTCCCACTTTCTATAGCAATAATGGTGTTAACGAGTTGAAAGAGCTTCCTTCCCGATAAGAATAGTTCACATGCCTGAAATAATAGTTTTCATTCTTCCCACCGCTTCTCATCCACAACTCTTTCATCTACCACAATCAAGGATTCTTGATTTCGCCGAGATACGAAGCAAGTTTCCGAGGTAATTTTTTAATATCGCTCTGCTACTATCTCAGCCCTTTCGCGACTATTCTACACGGAAGAAAATCACGTGGATTTGTTAAACGACGAGGGATTGCGTTTTCAGAACGTAATTTCACGAGTCCAGGATTCACGGTGTACTAATTTAAACGTTATCGCGTTAAATATCCAGCTCTCGATTCGCGGCTTTGTTAAAACCATTTCGAAAATTCCCACTGATTTTGTAACTGCAATTTTCCGTCACAATCTCGTTGGGAACGTTAATGAAGCGGCTTTGAAAAAATTCCCCTTTGAAAAGGTTTCGTAGGTGTGTAATTTATTTTATAGATAAAAAAAGATAGGAAAAAAGAACTTTTTCTTCGTTATCTGTCTAAATCGGAGAAAAACGTACTTAATAAAATACGCGACAGAAACTCACGCAGTACAGCTGACCTACAAATATCACTCCATCGGGGACCGATCGATCTAATTCGACGAATATATTTCTAAATAAAAAATTATTTCGTTGCAAAATTAATTATTTTTCTGGAATAATGCGATGCTCAGTCGCGACGAAAGTGAACGTACGAAGGGTGAAGAATTACCAGACAAATTCTATTATTGATAGGGCACTGTTGAATGCACCTCGTAACGTAAATGGAAATCACGCAATTATGGTTGTAGATCGATAACAGAAATAGAAGAATCGTTTGACGAGTTCGTTCAACTGGCACGAGTTTATTCCGCAAACATGGAACCTGTGTATTTTCTACGAAACTTTATTATTTAGAGTGTTTATTGAATTTTAATCGCACGTTGATTTACATCGTGGAATTTACACGAATGGAGGACATTTAAATTTGCATTAACAGCTTCTCGATTTATCGAAATGCGTATGAAGTTGGGGGGAAATATTTGTAAACTAATTCACGTCGAACTGGAAGAGCTGAACGATTTTGAATTTTATATTTTTCGGGAAATGTAATAATGGGAATATTTGTAAACAAATTCACGTCGAACTGAAAGAGCTCAACGATTTCGAAGTAATTTTATATTTTTGTGGAATGGGAATATTTGTAAACAAATTCAGGTCGAACTGAAAGAGCTCAACGATTTCGAAGTAATTTTATATTTTTATGCAAACGTAATAATAGGAATATTTAAAATTCATTAACGTTATAATGGTATACAAATAGGATAAAAAGTGAACAGATCAGATATCTAAGATCATGTGTTTTATATTCATTATTCTACGAGGTGTATCTGAAACGAATTAACCTACTTTAAAAAGGGCGTTCAGTGATGTTGATGATCGATAATAAAATAACACGTTATCCTATCTAAACGTGTAAATCAATACAGATTTGCCGTTTATACTATTTACTGGTATAGTAAACGGCAGGATAAAATATTTGCATAATTTTCTGCTCAATATACATCCGATGCCTTCTATATTTATCATGATTAATTAAGGGATATGTTCAGGTATAAATATTAGCGTTGACATGTAAATTTTTCATGGAAATCATTTATAGAATTGCACGCAATTGCAAATCGTTTGAAATGTTCCATATTCATACGATTAATCGTATGAAATAACGAGGACGAACGGTAAAAGAAACCGCTTATTAATCAGCAGTTGGAAAATGGATATCGCGTATTTTTAAAGCATATTCAGTATTAAAATTGTCATGCAAAATATGTGTATAAAGTAGCTTTCTTCTAAATACAAATATTTAATAGTTATTTAACGTATATACATCGTTATATTATTTAATTTTAGGATTCATGATTCATATTTACCATCTGTTGATAAACTAAGAAAATTTCATATGTTCTTTCATACGTAAAATTGTCAAAAATTCAAAAATATTGCAGGGAATAGATTAAAGGTTATTTTAACAAAATCTATGTTACAATATACATACTGTTTAAGTATTGAATTTTAACTACCAATAGAAATGGACATAAAAATTATAATTAAAAGTTTGATGTTATAGGCTAGCTAAATTTTTATTTTACCTTTAAATTACTTTAAAACTTTAATTTAGATGCAAATTGAAAATTACATATCGAATGTATTCATGATTCCCTAAAGAAGAAAGCTACTTTACCGATATAACAAAGTTGCACTTACCTTTAGCTGCTCTTGTCGATTGTAAGCGTGTAGCATCAGCAGCTTGCGTTCGTCCTCTGTCATCAGTGGTTCCCGAGCAGGCTTTCCAACTCCTCTTTTCTGCAGTTTCACGATAATCTTCGTCTTCTCGTTTATCCCCAAGTAATCCTTCAGCTTCTTTCCCGGTAGCATTTCCTTACCTGAGAACCAGATTTGTGCCAGTTGCACATCGATAACCTGTAACCACGAAACATCGTCTTGTTAATATTCCATTCGAATCGATATAAGATACATTAAATTATAGAACAGAACAATGCTTACACGTTGCAAATCACTTCAGGATACGTATTTTCACAACACATCCCGAATAACACTTTTAATCCGAGTTAAAACACGATCTAAGTAATGTTATGACGCAATTAAAACGTGAAAAAGACGCGCCAACGCGGAGCAACACATTTTACGTATTATTAAGAAAAGTATTTACACTACGACAACAATATTATACAAAAATGAAAGCTAGAAACAGACGTATCAAACGGAACACAATCAGAACACGAATAGAATAATTTAACATACGAAGAGAGCAAAATTTACACACCGAAATTCGAGTAACAACAAATCGTCCGAACTCTATGGCGTGCGCGTCGCAACTGAGGATACGCGATCGTTCGCGCGCGAAAATATAAACATGGCGTCGACCGTCCCTAGGTCAAAGCGTGCTAGAAATTGTTTTCAAATTGTACTTCTACGAAATACGTGTATATATCGACAAAGGAATGTCTTATACGACTGTTAACATTGTTATTCTGCGATCTCGGTATTTCTTTCATACTACGAGATACTACACACGACTTTCATACTACATACATACTTTCCCAAATATTACATATGCTTATAAATTGACTTATTTCTGTTTCTTCAGTCAATTTGCTTTATTTTAACAATCAACTAAACTGTTAAGCATAAAGTAATTATAATACGCTTCTGATTAACTAAATCAAACTACATTTAAAAATTGCTAAACCCAATTAAAAATATAAATAAAGAATAAATATATACATAATGTTTAATAACTTTCCGTCAAACTTATAACACTACCTCTAACGACGCCTGAGTTCCACTCAAATCCTCCGTGTTCTCGAACTCCTGTCTAATAACATCATGAGGCGGAAGTCCCATCGGATAAACGATGGTCACAGCGCCTCTCAGGATATCCAACGTTTCTTGCACAAGTTTTTGCGTCACAACGTCGAGCAAGAACGTGGAAATCTACGGAGTGGACAAAAACGAGGAACACAGACAGGGTGGAAAATTACCTTCGAAACCGTAGCTCGTGCCTCCTCGATCGTTTTCTTCAAGACCTCCTGCATCTTCGCATTAGGCTGTCTGCCGTTTCTGCGGCCTGAAACATGGAAACAGCTCGGTAACATCGTGGTCTCCGGTCTGGCGAGCAATTAATGCTACGATTACAAGCCCGTTCTCAGAGAAAAGAAAAGGCACACCGGCTGAGCGAATTTCTCGCCAGCATTGTACACTCCATCGGCTGATAACAGCGCATTTGCATATGCGCTAAGCGCGGCATAAAACAAACTGCATCGTTAGGTCCCTAGGTCAGAAAGTACGTCTTCTACTCGCGAGAGACTAGCCTTTCCTCCCTCCGTCTCTCCCCCGTTTCTTAATACATACGGCTCCACGTACCGATAACGTCCTTGTTAAAGGTCCATCCGCCCATCGGCACGCACTTCTCGCCCCACTCGTCCTTGAGCTTCAACTCTTCTACCTGCTCGTCGGTGAGGCCCATCATGTCATGGGGCAGCATGGTGCCGTGCTTCGCCAGCTCTTCGATTTCTATTTTTCCGCAAGCACGGAACAGAGAGAGATGGCGGAGCCACCGGTTAACTCCGCGTAATTATTATCCCCGCGCGACGTGTGACTAATATCACACGGCGCGCAACGATGGATGGGTTCATAAACTCGGCCCTCGACTTCTTATTACGCGCTGTTATTACAAGCCGCGGGTGAACCCTTTTCCCCCGTACTCCGGGCCAGATAATCGTTAATGGATTTCTCGCGTTAGTATTCCGACTGCGGCGGGGAGGGGAACCGAGGCCATCCGGGGAGTTAGCATTCGGAACCTATGGAAAAATCGTCGGGAGAGATTCGACTCGTGTGTAAATCCGTGTACGATAATTAATCGCCTTGGAAACGTGTGTAATTACCCGTTGCGAGAGAGGGTCGCCCTACCGACACTCGCTTGGGCGTGTTAATTGATCGTAAATTGTTATTCTTTTTTCGGTTCCACGGGCAACGTCGGTTGATTGTTTCGCGACAATTATTGTCCCGTGGCTTCTTAAGCAACGATGTGTACGGGGTGCGCCGGTTGCAAGGAATACCCGAATGATTTCAGCTGGTGGTGGAAGGAGAGATGATTGAGAGTTTATCCGAAGGTTATCTCGAAGGTATCTTTCAAAGTCACCGACGTATTTTTGCATTTTAACACGCGGTTCTTGAAATAGAACGCTGTAGCCAATTTCAAGACCAGCTGAACGACATTATCGCGTTGAAGTGACCTTAAATAGTAAGTGAAAAATGTAGGATCAACAAGACTGCTTTGTCGTTTTTCCTTATTTTCGAGACCTTGAGAAATAATTCAGGTGTTTGTTGCAAATGAGACACTCTGTGGAGAGCTGAATCGAGCAAAAAGGAAGAGATAGAAGTTTGCATTCTTTAATGCGTTTCACTGAAAGTCTACCGGGTATTCGCGAAAATAAAGAAATTTTCTCGGTGTGCTGCGGGCCTCGGCCTTGACGGCGGTAAAAAGCAGGATCGAGAGTGCCTGTACGCGAGAAAAGTGTGTAAACAAGGGGCAAAAGAATTTTCTCCGCGAACACTTTTCATGCGTGCAACATCAAACTCGCGTCATTGGATTAATGGCACAATCGGGAAATAAATGAAGGGATACGTAACTCGTTATCGTCGATGAAATCATTGGCATTCAAACAGCCTGTGGTGATGCCCGATAAAATCGTACACGTTCGGCCTCGCATGGGGGCCGTTACATGCACGGCGGGGGAAATAAAAAGGCCGAGAAAACGGTAATAACGCGTTGCAACGCCGTTACCTCGGGACAACTCATGCCACTTAACGTACGATCTGGCCGTAGTCTGCCTAAATAAAGTGCAACTTTCCAGCCCCGGACGATTTTCCTTTGCCACGCTATTAGACGTCACCGTTTTCCGAACAGCTCACTCCCCCGAACGAACGAGAGACGAGGAACGAGCGATCATTACCATAACATATTCTTGAAATCTTCAGCCGGCCGTTGTAAATAATAGCAATGTCGTATATAACGTCTTCAACCCGAGCCTCCACGTGTGTGTCGTACAGAAACTGGCTCTCCTCGCCTTTCTTCACGTGCAGACGGACCATTTTCTCGGAAAGCTACGAACAAAGCGCACAGAACCGGCTTGAGCTTTTATTAGCGCACGTATTACTTTATTTTCTCAGGGAAATTGAAGAAAGAGCAGAGATGAAATTTCGCGGAAGAATATTCTTGTTATTTAACGGCAAGGTCAATATTACCGTTCCTCGATAACTGTTGCCTTAAAGATACGATCGTTGTACATTCTAGCGACGAGCGAAATTTATTTTCTTAAAAAGAACAATTCTGATAACATTGAAATTTTACGACAGTGCTTGAAACACAAAGTTACCGATACGCATGATATAATAACGAGAGGGTTACCTTTTGATACAGTAGGTTAACTATAAGAGTTCTCTGTTCTCGGTTAATCAGATTTGGCGAACTTGAAGCACTTGTCGAACTTCGACGTGAAGAGTATCGTTCGCGATAAAGAGAAAAACGTGTGTTTATTCGATAGCGAACGTGAAAAGTAAAAGGTCGGTTCACTCCGAAGCGAAAATAGCCGCGTACTTCCGTCGAACTGATCGAGAAAACGTCAAGATCACGGCGCGAGTATGAACAGAAAACGCTGCGACGTGTTATTCCTGGTAACGAGGCGTATCGATTAAACAACACGAAACGCATTCGTTCGTTGCATAACTTCGAATTGGTAAACGACGAGCGGGGGGGCTGGTAACTTAAGAAGACACTGTAGAGGTGCAATTAAACGTCTCGAATACGAGGTGTACAAAATAAAACGATCTCGTTTAATGAGTATATAATCGTGTTTCATTATTGTATAATATACATATTTACATTCTAGTGAAACACGGATTACAAGAATAAAGACGATCAAATATCGTTACAAATAACGGAAAAACATTCAGACGCGTACTCACCCTATCTCTCTTTCTCTCATTCTCATTCGCGTGCTCCCTACTGGCGTTTTTTGGACACAAAAATATCATCGATATATTTCTTTTTCTTCTCCATATAATTAGTTTATGTCAATAATATAATAATAATAATTATTATAATAATATAATAATAATAATTAAATATTCACGACGTAACGTTCGTAGAATAAAAATCTATACACTTATATTCCGTATCCGTAACTTCATCTAAATTGTAAGTTGACTAGTATTATGTTAAAATACACTTATAATTCGATTCGATGAGGTGTATTATTCTCCAGGTCGATTCCCGATTGGTTTCTTCTTCTTTTTTTTTTTTTTTTTTTTTTTTCATCATTTTCCCTTCACTTTTTTTCCTTTTTCTCTCAATTTTCTCGAGGAGGGGGCGTGTGGTTGGGTCCGAACGAAGGTGGTCCCTATACGTGTTAATTATGGTGCATACACGAACGTGTCTCGAATAACGGAGACGATTCGTTCTAAATGCTCGACTGGCCGAGAACAATCGGAACAGTTCCCCGTACCACCGGGCTCTCGCGACTGACGTTTACAATTTCAGACAGACGACAATTAACAATAGACTCTATGACAATTTCAACGCTTCAACATCGATATTTTGACGAGTGACGATTGTTGCTTAATTACACACACGAGTTTACATCGTGCACCCGACTCGCGAGATCGGACGCGAAAAAACTTACACGTTTACTCAAAATCCTTTCGCATTGCTCGATTAAATCGGATTAATCGTGAGATTTAGGGCTTGGCTGGTTGGGAGGGGAACGGGGAGAAGGAGAAGGAGGAATCGGAGGCGTAATTATACGACGATTAAAACGTATTACGTTCGGAATCGTACGTACAGAAACATCGAAGTGAAATTCGATGGTTCGATATTCGCGTCGTAAATTTGTTGTATAAATAGAATACACGTACATACACATCGTATTAATGCGTAACCACTACGATAATTTACACGGTCCTCCGGTCGTCTAAAACGTGACATTTACAAAAAGAATCGCTCTAAAATAACCATGTATTCTCGATACTCGGCGGTGATATGATACAATAGAAAAATTGGCATTTGGTCCGAAAGAAACATACAAAATAGGGGGGGGCGGGAGGCTCTTAAGTGCTAGAACGGGGAATCATAATATTGTGCGCGACTTTCTCCTGTCGTTCGCGTGTTTTTTTTTTTCCTTTTTTTTTCATATCATTTGGTGAGATTGAAACATCGTGCGACGCGGGAATACACACAGACTGCGACTGTACTCTTTGTAGCAACTACGTTCGAAAAATATTTACGTCCATTCTTTTAATATGCCTCGCGTTTATACATAATCGATACGATTATTGAAATCATCTACCTATCAACGAAAAGGCATCGGTCTTCCCTTGGGTAGCTTCCTTTTCCATTCTTAAATCGGCGAAACATCGCAAAAATCGTAATTCTATGTACATATATTTTTTTCACTCTTGGAACCTCGAATAACGATATAACATCGGACTATGTGTGGGATACTTGCAAAAATAACGCGTTATACCCTACGTACACAGGGGGGGAAACACATACTAGCCCTTTAGTAATTTTCTTCGATTCGGTGTGTCCTGCCTTTTTGCTTCTGTTTTTTTTTTTCTTTCTAACGACTTTCACGATCACTGGACGGCAAGATCCTTGGACAATAAAACGTCACACAGAGAGAATTTTCCTCTAAAATTATGATAACAATAAATTCATTTCTTCTTCTTCTTCTTCTTCATTCGCTAACAATACGGTTCATAATAATTCGACGTTTAAACGCTAAACATCTCAGGCTTCGAAAAAAAAAATTGTTTCACATCGATTAAAGCTTGTGCACGATATCGTTAACGTTTCTTCTGTTCTCTTCATTTTCTTTTTACCTTTCGCTCCTCTCGCGAATATCGTCCGAATCAACTCGAGAAACGCACGACGGGGTTCATCTTTAATAGCGAGTTAAATTTTTCTCATAGACTCGTAAGCATTGCTTCGAGATGTTCTTAGCTATGGTATTGACGAAGTGGACGCAATATTAATTCCTCTCCTTTATTCCTCGTCAATGGTAGGCTGAACCTGTAGCACATCCTTCAGGATCCTGAGTTCCTGATGCTGATCATCCCGATCCTGCTGAGTCGCGTTGGGACCGTGCAACGGTGAACGTTGCACGGTTGCCTCCTCTCAGACTTTACTTTCCGGACCATCTGTCGTGTGCTTGAAGGAGTTGCGAATTTTACTGAGGTGCAGAGCCGCGAGGTGGCCGTAACTTTTGTTGTACCATTCCGGAGTGCGTCCTCTGTGCAAACAAAAATCAATCGCACCGTAAATAACAGCAAAGATAACAAATAGAGCCCCGAACGGAATGGGTTATTTTTCATTCTCTGTATACATACTTTGTATCCACTCTGGAAAGATGCATGATCCGTGATTTACCACTACCGCAAGGTTCGATAAGATAGCGCGAGGCCAAAACAATACCGCGTGTTCCGCCAAGCATAACAGGAGCATCCGGATGTTCCACGGACGTTTCTACGATGACGCAGGCCCCTTTGGGGAGATCGTTACGCCAGGATCTGTACAATGCAACGTTACATAATTTACAACTCCACTGTTCTATTCTACGACTCTTATAACTCTTCCTATTTGTCACGTTCAATATCGTATCGTTTCATCGAACGGACGAAGACGATTCGCGAGGCGAATTCGAAACACACCTTAACACACAATAATCCCTGGCAGGAAGAGGACTCATGTTCCCGGTGGCGTATTGAAAGACCTCCACGTTGGTGTCCAATTTGGCTACCAGCCTGTACTTGAGAAGTTGCGGATCCCAGATATGCCTCTCTCTCAGAACACGATGCAGAAGCTCGTTCGGCGGAGCTTCCACTTCAGTCGACACTCGCCACAATCGAAGCGGATGACCGTCTCCGACTTTCTTGTAAGCCATTTCCACCGTGCTGTCTGCTGGATTGTTCACGGTGACCCAACCTCGACTTCTGTTGGCAAAAATGTCGACAACGCGATAGTAAAAATACGTTAGAAAATGAGTCTCCGGAGAGAAAAGTTAATTTCCAGATTACACGTACTTTTCTCGCGCCTCCTTCAACAAGGCCGTGGTACACGCGTACAAATAACCTCTCCAGTCTTGCTTCAGCTCAGAGCCCAACTCCTCCAATGCAACCGGAACGCTTTCCTCCATGTAATTGAAATGACACTGCGTCAACATATCCGAGGAGACCTGATGGTACATGGAACAGAGAACGGAGAATACGATTAACTCGTGTTTCCCTTCCGATTCGTGAGAACGTGTTCGAATAATACTGTTGTATATACATCTCTCGGATTCGAGCGCGATCACAATCGCCGTTTCGAGACGACGACGGATGACGCTCCTCTCGAACGACCTGGACGTTCGGCATCGAGCCACTCACCATGAATAATTCACGATGCATCTTGACCAGATACAGAAGACAGTCGTGAGCGGCTTTGTTTTCCGACAGTTCCCTCTGATCGGGAATGCCCACGGTCTTTCTCCTACGTGGGGATACGCTGCTCGACCTGTTGGTCACGTTCGTGTTGCTGTGGTTGAAGTGGAACAGGCTCGGTGCCAGGCACACGGCCAGGTTCGAGGCTGTCATTTGGTTGTAGGGAGCGTTGCTCGCTACGTGGTTCAAGAAATCGAGCAGAGTTTCCAACGCCTCCCTATGCTCGTCTGGCAGAAGCAGCAACACGCATTGCACCGCGTCCGGTCGCAGCTCAGCAGGTACATCTGTAACAATTATCAACACCTGCAATTATCCACGGTTCCACCTTTCAATCGGCTTCACCAATAAATCATTCATCGAGCAACCTTTCAAGTTCAACGTTACGCGTATGAATATTTCAGACAGCTAGTAATTCTCTCTTATTTTTATCATCCAAACGGTATATACATATATGTGTGTCTGTGCTTACGTTGAAAGATAGCAATGAAGGTTTCAGAGAGTTTGTTCGTTAACAGAGCTTCTGGTAACTCCCTGAAATACTGCTTGACAAGGTCAGCCACGTCGAATGCTTGTTGACCGTCGAAATTAATAGTATCTCCAAGAGTCTCTGTCAT